ACTGTGGGCATTCTTTCTAAGATCAGATATTATGTACCACGCCCTGCCCTGGTGACTCTCTATTACTCCCTTATCTATCCATATCTCAACTATGGTATTTGTGCTTGGGGCTCTACTACCCAAAATCACTTACGTCCTCTAATTACTCAACACAAAGCTGCTATTAGGACAATATCCAATTCTGGCCCCAGACATCACTCGGTACCCCTACTCAAATCTCTGAATATGTTAGACATTAAGTCACTGCACATTCTCTCATGTGTATTATACATATATAAAACGCTAAACTATAATGCCAATCCTGATCTCAAAAGCTTCATAGAAGGTTGTATCAGAACCCATGAGCATCACACCAGAAATAAATACAGTTTTGATATTCCTAGAGTACGACTTAATCAAACTAGAAATGCTCTACAAATCAAGGGGCCCAGAATGTAGAATGACCTTCCCAACCATGTTAAAGACTGTACCTCTCTCAACCAGTTTAAGTTACAAGCGAAGCTATACCTAATAAATTCCCTGTAACCTACCTTACCCTTCTATTGTCAACCAATGTCTGTTTTTTTCTTTAAAGAGCGCTGTTTGTCGACATAATTGTATTTGTGCTGCTTTTTCATCTATGTTTTCATTTCTTGTTTTCATTCTACTCATTATGCTCAATTAGTATTAAGCTTGTCATTTAAGTTTATCATGCCCGAAACGCTTTGCGTAATAGTGGCTTTAAGCATTGTATGTACTAGCTCTACCTATAAGTCAAACAATCCTTGTAAATATTTATTGTATGTATGTACCTTACCTAAATAAAATTGTATTGTATTGTATAATATGGTGTTTAACGAAGATAAGTAACATAGGCAACATAGAGGACATAAGACCAGCACAGCTCAGGCGGCGCATGAGCAGATCGTACCTTGAGGTTACCTTGAGGTGCTTCTGGGGCTTAGCGTCCCCGCGGCCCGGTCGTCGACCAGGCCTCCTGGTTGCCGGACTGATCAATCAGGCTGTTGGACGCGGCTGCTCGCAGCCTGACGTATGAGTCACAGCCTGGTTGATCAGGTATCCTTTGGAGGTGCTTATCCAGTTCTCTCTTGAACACTGTGAGGGGTCGGCCAGTTATGCCCCTTATGTGTGTATCGTAGGCAAAACAACACCCGAGACAGCTCGCAAAATGGTGCAAAAGGAACATGAAAACCAAAAGCAATCTGGAGCAGCTCCGCCACTGTCGCACAAGACAAGGCGATAATCTGTGGCAAAATGACGGTTCTGAACTGCCACAAGAGAAGGGCAAGAACACTGCAACAAAAAGCGAAGTATACCCATGAAGAGCCACAAAGAAAAAGGAAGGAAACCCCATACTGCTGCCGAGACGAAGCACGCAGGTGGGACACCATCAACGTAGCCACCTGATCATCAAACATATGGAGATCGACTCGAGTGAAAAGTACCAGACGCTATGACTCAAGGAGCAGACCGAACCAGCCCCCCCCCCCCCCACGTAATGGACCAGACTGAACACCTGAAAGAGGCGGAGCCGTGGGATCAAGCACAAAATCACTTCGCATTCAAAATCACAAAATCATAGGCTCACATGGGGCTATTGGCATACGTGAACAATAATCATACAGGATCCCGATATGATTCGAACATGATATAAAAAAATACATGTCCGAAATAGGAAAGTTGATAAAGTGGTTAAAATTACCCACAGGAAAGACAGAACCTATAAACCCGAAGGGACACGGAACCGAACCGGGGAGGGGCCGACACTTAAACCAACTTGCACATAGAGGGGGGGGGGGGGAGTTGGAAGGAAAAAACCCACTCCAAGTAACAGTAAGCCCCTCTCAGACAACCCAGGTGGGGTCCAATGGGGCCCAAGACTCCCAAGTCAGCCCCCCCCCTCCAAACCCCGGGAACCTCCACACCAGGACCTGGAGCCGAATTGTTCTCCAGCGCCCCGGCCTCAAAAGAAAAAGCCGAGGCAACCGTAAAAGCACCAAGGAAGGGGGCTCACTGTTCAGACCCATACACAACGGCTGGAGGAACCAACTCGAATGCCTCAGTTGCCACGCCGGAAGGGGCAACCATTGAAACTGCCCAAGTCTCAGAATACTCTGAACCCCGAAGCCCTCAGACGCTCCGGAGCCGGAAGCAAAGGGGAGAGGGGGGGGGGGGAGAAGGAACCACAGCAGAGGAAGAATGAGAGGGTGCAGACTGAACCAAGGCTGAAGCGACTAACACTCCCAAGTCTGGGTCCGTATAAGCAAAGTGGGGCAGCCTCAAGGCATCTAGGCGAGTGGGGACCCAGGAGACGCACCCATTGGACCCTCTTGTGCCCCCAGCGGGGTTTCCCAGGGCCCTTAGATTGTTTTTGCTAAGGGTAAGCCCAGGCAGGGTACAGCTAACCGGCGCCAAAGTCTACCAAACAAACTTCTAAAACTGAAGCCCCCGGGACGTGTGTTACAGCCCTCTCGGGTCGCAACCGGGTTCTTTCTCTGATGTTGTTAGAGGTAGGGTATCCGGCCCCAAGCTAGTAGTGGCTTTCAAGGGATGTGATCCGTAACGCAAGTAAATAAAAGGGGAAGGGAGACTAAGGCAAAAACTTAATAATATAATTGTCACCATCACCATAAATAATATATATCTTATCACACGGGGGAGGTATTAACACTATTATATACAATGTGGTCTTCCTCTGAAGACGCGGAGTGTTCCACGGTGCTCGACGATGCTAAACTCTTGGTCCTCTTGTGGCCTCACGACGAATCCTTCGATTCTCTTGAGTCTACCCTGGCCACAGGCCAGCCAAATCACAGTTCCACTGGGGGCACCGTCGTGGAGGCCTTCAACCACAAATCCAGCCTGTAGCTGGCAGGTTCCAATCAGCAACGCTGGTTAGGCCACTCCACGACCGATACTAGGGTAGCGAGCCCTAGTCAGGAGCCTCGTGTGATCCCACAGGTCACTCTCCTCACCACAACACCCCAGTGGATAAGCGTCTCCACCAGTCAGTCCCGGGTACGACAATCCCTCAGCTGCCACGTCACAGGCAGGCTAACACCTCAGTGTTCATCCGGGGGGTGACTCACAGCTGCTGCAGCAAATACTTGGAGACAAGACGGCTGCCTTGGGTAGACTGATCCAACTTCCATTACAGCAGTCCCAGGTCGACTCTGTAATCAGACACGTCATCAGTAATAGGGACACTCTAGGGCACCTCACTTACAGGCTTAGACACAAACGCCCACCTATCCACTCCATAGATGGCGTTGCTGTCTAAGCGTCACCTCACCAGAGGTCAGCAGCGGCTGTGTTATAAGCTGATCAGGACGGGAAACCAGCCCTCGTTAGATGTCGCCGTCCATTTGGAGGGAGTTTCGGGAGCTGACCCACAGATGGCGCGGTCGTCACTGCTCCATGCTCGGACGCTGGGCTCGGGTCCGTAACAACGTGTCTACTCACGGGGGCCTAGCAGGGAATACCACGAAAAGACAGGAGGTCAAGAACCTAATATAACAGGGGGGGGGGGGAGCAGGGGAAAGAAGCAGACCCCTCCAACCAGGCATAAACAAAAATGAAAAGAAAAAACCCGCAAGAGGACAATGTACCCAGAAGGAACAGAGCCGACCGTTGTAATAGGTGAAAACTAGCTGCGCAGTACCCTGTGCCCCTATCAGTGCAAAAACTTCCACTTACCCTAAGGTAAACAAGGGAGGAGGAAACCCCCAAACACACACCCAGAGCAGGTCAATCATCAACCGAGGTAGACCCCAAGGTGACTTGCATTAGATAACCCCAAGGGCGGTACTTACAGGGCACTCAGGGAAGGGAACTCTAAGCACGTGCAACCTGAGTACCTGTGAATATTACTCCCAGCTCGCACACCACCATAAGAGCAGTACTGGACTCAAGGCACAGCACAACATGAGAGAACCTGGAGCTGGAGCCACACAACTGAGCCACAATCACATCAGCTGAGAACTGACTGGTGGATAGCCGGTGCAAGAGGTCCTGGGGCTCCCCCTTCCCCCTCCCGGGAAGGGCTAGCTGCGCAGACAAGCGGTGCAGCAAGAATGTAATGTCATGCTCGTTTGCTTGTTTTTAATTTGAGGAGTTCTGTCCTCTCATTAGCTTTCAGTGGTAGTTTTAGCTAGAATAGGAGTTTGTTTTGAGGCGCTTACCTTTCTGGGTGCCCGGCACAGTCGATGGCAGACAATGAATGCTCCAAATACATGTGCACTTCTATAGGCCATTGCTCCTCATGCCTCTCTGAGGGGACCAGGTTCTGGCTCATGGTCCCCAGTAGGCCTAAAACTCCATTCACACTGACTGATCCCAAAGTCTAATAGTATATATATCAGCCTGGATAGCTCTGGGGACCCAAAGGGGCTTCCCCCAGAAATGGATCTAAATTATAGAAACCACTCCTAATGTTCATATTACATGACTTTGTAATCTGTATTAAAGCAGATTCAATTATGTTCCTATTGAAAATACTTCTACAATTTGTTATTGAAGAAGCCATCTCCAAATCAATTTGGTGATAACTTTCTGAGAAATGAACAAACAAAGCATTAGACAATTGGCCATGTCTTAAAGAGTATTAATGTTGCCAAATTCTATATTTCAAATATTTAGATGTTTGCCCTATGTAGTAAAAGTGATATAATATTATTGTACCCGGATGGATGCTCGCTTGACTGTTTCGTTTGGATGCTCGCTTGACTGTTTTGTTGCGAGATCAGCTGTGTCGTGCCTGTGTACAGGTTAGTTTATGTTCACTCCTAGTTTAATTTCTATTTGTTCTAGCGTTAGTCATGTGTAGTTTGATTATATTATATATCTTAAGCACTGTTAGTCTTTATAAGTATTGTATATTATATGGCTTGTGTTTATTGCAGGATGTAACTGTACTGTAATTATTTGTTCAAGAAAGCCACATGTCTGGCAATGCTTCTCCTTTACCTCAATTTATTGAACAAATAATTCAGCCAGTGAACATGGAGCGGTTACTACGGCCCGAGCGGTTTGCTACTGACCCAAACGCCACCAACGCCGCTCAGGAATGGCGTCACTGGCTCAAGACGTTCCAAAATTTCACTCTAGCAGTAGAAGAAAATACTCCCACCGTGGACAAGCTGCGTCTCTTAATAAACTACGTTGCTCCACGTGTGTTCGACTACATAGCTGACTGCACTACGTATGATGCTGCTGAAAAATCCCTAACAGAACTGTTTGTGAAGCCCAAGAATGAAGTATTTGCAAGGTATGTGCTTGCAACATGACGCCAAGAAACCGGTGAGTCGCTTGATCAGTTTCTTCAGGCTTTAAAGTTATTAGCTAAAAATTGCCAGTTCAAAGCAGTGACTGCTGTAGAAGTCTGTGATAACTATGTGAGAGATGCTTTCATTAATGGGCTAGGTTCTGCCACAATAAGGCAGCGCTTACTTGAAAATAAAACTTTAGACTTACAGTCAGCCTTTGACCAGGCTCGCACTCTAGAAACGGCACAGAAACTTTCTGCGTCTTATGCTCAGCCAGGGGCTACAAATGCTGCCATGGCACTCTCATTAGACCTGGAGGATTTAGGAGGACAAGAAAGTGTAGAAGAAAAAGTTGACACAGTTTCTGCAGCTACAACTAGTGGTTTAAAGTGCTTCTTTTGTGGTTACTCTCGACATCCTCGCAGTCGATGTCCAGCTAGAGAGGCTCTGTTTATGAATTGCAAGAAAAAGGGTCATTATGCTAAGGTCTGCCGATCTCTGAAACAGACTAACAGCGCTTCAAACACACATTCCGCTGCTGTGCTCGCTACTTTAGCTGGGACTTCGCCCTCATGTCTCAATAAATCAGTGCTTAGTTCTAAGATCAATGGTATTCCAGTTAATGCACTGATTGACATTGGTAGCTCTGAGAACTTTATTCATAAGAATATTGCCGAGCAGAGTGGGTTACTCATCTATCCTGACAATGGGGCAGTTTCTATGGCTACTGTATCATTCTCTTCAAAATTCCTGGGGCAGTGTTCTGTAGACTTAGAATTGCAAGGAGAAACTTACCATGGTGTGAATCTCAAAGTGTTACCCGATTTGTGTGCTGATGTGATTTTAGGTCATAACTTTTTACAAAATCATTCTGTGCTCGAGATGGCTTTTGGAGGAGATAGACCTCCCCTTAGAATATGTGGATTAGCTGCCGTCAAAGTTCCGGCTCTATCTCTCTTCAGTAATTTAGCACCAGACTGCAAGCCGATTGCTGTAAAATCCAGACGCTATTCTGAGGCTGACAAGTTGTTTATTAAATCTGAGACCGCTCGGATGCTACGCGAAAAGATAATTAGACCCAGTCATTCTCCATGGAGAGCCCAGGTATTAGTAACTAAAGGAGACATCACAAGAAAAGAATGGTTGTAGATTATTCACAAACAATCAATCGATTCACGGGGCTGGATGCCTACCCCTTACCACCTATGGATGAGATTGTGAATAATGTTGCTAGATTTAAAGTATACAGCACGCTAGACTTGAGAAGTGCTTACCATCAAGTGGGTTTAACAGAGGAAGAAAAACCCTATACAGCCTTTGAAGCTTGTGGGAAGCTTTTTGAATTTAATCGTATCCATTTTGGGGTCACTAATGGAGTGGCTAGTTTTCAAAGGGTAATTGATGGCATCCTTGAGAAAGAAGGAGTGGAGGGTACCTTCGCTTATGTAGATGATGTCTGTGTGTGTGGAGATTCTGAGGAAGACCATGATAAAAATCTGAAACATTTTATGGACGTTGCAAGAAGGTATAACCTGACCCTGAATCTTGAAAAGTGTAGTTTTCGACTCCGGTCTATAAAGCTGTTGGGATATCTTATACAAGAAGTAGAAATTAGACCTGACCCAGAACGCCTCGAGCCACTGTTAAAACTTCCACTACCAAGTAACAGGTTCTTTACGCAGAACAATGGGAATGCTTGCACATTGCTCCCATTGGGTGCTGAGTTTTTCTGAGAAGATCCGTCCTCTCTCTCATGCCAATGATTTTCCCTTATCTGCTGCCACTGCGAAAGCTTTTAAAGCATTGAAACAAGGCATTGCTGAGGCAGTGGTTCGAGCAATCGACCCAACAGCTTCTTTCGCTGTGGAAACCGATGCTTCAAATCATGCTATTGCCGCGACCCTAACCCAGAATGAACAACCAGTAGCTTTCTTCTCCCAAACACTTTCAAAGAGTGAACAAAGGCACTCATCAGTGGAGAAGGAAGCGTATGCCATTGTGGAAGGCCTAAGGAAGTGGCGACACTATCTCATTGGACGCCATTTTCGGCTTGTGACTGACCAACGCAGTGTTGCTTTTATGTTTAACTCTAAATCAGCTGGTAAGATTAAAAATGATAAAATTGCTAGATGGCGAGTCGAACTCTCCTGTTACCACTATGACATTGTATATCGCCCAGGTAAAAAGAACATACCCGCTGATGCATTCTCACGTGTATGTGGTGCCACCAGTGTGGATGAACTACAGGAATTGCATGACAATCTGTGTCACCCTGGAGTGTCTCGTATGGCTCATTTTGTCCGATGTCGAAATCTGCCTTATTCTGTGGAAGAAGTGAAGAAGACGACTAATTCTTGCTCTGCATGCTCTGAACTTAAACCTCGGTTTTGCAAATTTGATTCTGGGCATTTGATTAAAGCTACTCAGCCATTTGAAAGACTCAACATAGATTTTAAAGGACCACTTCCATCACATTCAAGGAATAAATATATCCTTACTGTTGTAGATGAATTCTCTAGATTCCCTTTTGCATTCCCTTGTTCAAATATGATTACTGGTACAGTAATTCAGTGCCTGGTGCAGTTGTTTGCAATCTTTGGTATGCCTGCATATATACACTCTGATAGGGGAACTTCGTTTATGTCTGAGGAGTTGAAAGATTTTCTACTAAAAAAAAGGGGTAGCAACTAGCCGTACGACTCCTTACAACCCTAGAGGAAATGGCCTGGCTGAGAAGTACAATGGGATTATTTGGAAGACAGTGCTGCTAGCTCTTAGGACGAGAGGCTTAGATGTATCCCAATGGGAAGTTGTTCTTCCTGATGCACTCCACTCTATTCGATCACTGTTGTGTACCCCTACAAATTGTACACCACATGAATGATTCTTCCAGCATACAAAAAGATCAATTTCAGGGCGAACACTACCTACGTGGCTTGCTTGCAGAGGCCCTGTCCTCCTAAAACGTCAGGTGCGGCAAAGCAAAAATGATCCTCTAGTTGACGAGGTTGAGGTCGTAGACGTGAATCCAGAATATGCCCATGTTAAGTTCCTGGATGGCAGGATTACTACAGTATCATTAAGACACCTTGCACCCATGGCTACAGAGGGCTGCTAGAGTTTGGACCCCAATCTCAACATTCAACAGCAACACCCAGCGATTTTGAAAGCTGGGGTAAACCCCAACCCGCCTCATCCTGAACTACCTCATCCGGAACTACCTCATCCTGAACTACCTCATCCTGAACTACTTCATTCCGAACCACCTAACTGGAAACCTTTCTCTGACGTAACACTCCATAGAGAAGGTGGTATGCAGGAACCGACTGGGACACTAGAGGCTTCAACTTTGCAGGAGTTCCTTCGACGATCTGGAAGGATGCGCAGTACCCCTATTCATCTTCGGGACTATGTTACTTAAAGCTAGATGGGGTGAATGTAGTAAAAGTGTTGTTATATTATTGTACCCGGATGGATGCTCGCTTGACTGTTTTGTTGTGAGATCAGCTGCGTCGTGCCTTATTTTATAAAAATTATTATTTCACATTGTATCTATGCCTTGAGAAATAATGAACATAAGTTAAATTATTCATAGGCTTTCTGTAAACACTAAACTTTGGTGAAAAATCTTTCCTATGAATAAAAAATATCTAAGGATGGCAAACATTTAGCATTTTTAGTCTCCATAGTAAATTTTATAAAGGTGACTTGATCATTAACCCTTAAACTGCACAAAACATCATATGATGTTGACCAGACCACACACTAGAAGGTGAAGGGACGACAACGTTTCGACTTGAGAATGGTCCAGGACGGACTGAAACGTCGTTGGCCCTTCATCTTTTAGTGTGTGATCTGGTCAACATACTTCAGCCACACTATTGTGACTCATCGCCTGCATCATATGATGTCTTGAGTAACTGTCGATAAATTGTGCATGATATCATATGATATTTTGAAGTACCGCGCAAGGTTTAACCCTTGTGTTGCTCAGGGCTAATTAGCATTTGTCACCCACAGGTGCATACCCAAAAAAAAAAAAAAAAAATCTTCTAAACCTGTTAACTTGTGTTCTCTGATCATTGGAAAAATAATATAAAAATCGTAAGTGGCATATATTGCCCGCTATAGGGCGGGGAAGTCTGGCCAAAAACAGGCGCTGACTCAGTGTGCGTCCCAGACGGTCTGTTGCTGTTGCTCCTAGCTGTCAGGCAGGAGTGGCCACAAAGAGATAATTACCTAATTATTTCAATGTCTCTGATTGACTTTTTGTAGTTTTCTTGCTGTAATATTATTCAATAGTGTGTAGTGTGATATACAGTATTTATATATACTTACAGTCTCCGTGGTGTAGTGGTAAGACACTCGCCTGGCGTTCCGCGAGCGCTATGTCATGGGTTCGTATCCTGGCCGGGGAGGATTTACTGGGCGCAATTCCTTAACTGTAGCCTCTGTTTAACGCAACAGTAAAATGTGTACTTGGATGAAAAAACGATTCTTCGCGGCAGGGGATCGTATTCCAGGGACCTGCCCGAAACGCTACGCGTACTAGTGGCTGTACATGAATGTAACAACTCTTGTATATATCTCAAAAAAAAAAAAAAAAAAAAAAAAAAAAAAAAAAAAAAAAAAAAGAATGAATTATCGCTGTACTCAAAATTATGGTGTGCATATTGTTGATTCAATTATTATGTTTATCAAACAGTGAACAAATTCTTTGTCGGCTATTACACTATATACACAGATTATATATAAATATTTGCATGTTTTGTTCACCATAACGAACCACTAAGTTGGTATTATGAGTCAAAAAGCAACGAGGAGTGACCGCCACACACCAGCCAGCCACTCGCTGTCACTTACTCCCTCAACACCTCACTCGCCCACATTCTCCTCCCACCATACTGTTTTTTATTTTATTCACTATATACAGACGTTATATATAAGTATCTACATTCGTGTTCACCATAACCAACCATTAAGTTGGTATGCTGAGTGGCAGTGGCAGCCAGTGGGAGTGGCAGCCAGTGGGAGTGGCAGCCAGTGGGAGTGGCAGCCAGTGGGAGTGGCAGCCAGTGGCAGTGACAGCCAGTGGCAGCCCGCCACTGGCTGCCACTTCCTGCCTCCCTCAACTCATCTGACTCGCCCACATTCTCCTCCCACAATACTGTTTTTGCTTTTATTCACTATATACAGACATTATATATAAGTATCTACAAGTTTTGCTCACCACAACTGTACAACTAAGCTGATATAGTTAGTTCAGGCACTAAGAGACGTCGTTACACACAGTTAACTGACGGATGCCTCCCTCACACATTCAAGGTCAGACGCACTAAAATTTCACCCCCAACAATACTGTTTGTGGTGTTATTTCCCTATATACATACATTATATATAAGTATCTACATTCGTGTTCATCATAACGAACCACTAAGTTGGTATGCTGAGTGGCAGTGGCAATGGCAGACAGTGGCAGCCTGCCACTGTCTGTCACTTCCTCCCTCCCACACCTCACCTGACTCGCCACCATTCTCCTCCCACCATACTGTTTTTGCTTTTATATACAGACGTTATATGTAAATATCTGCATGTTTTGTTCACCATAGCGAACAACTATATATAAGCTGGTATAGTGAGAACAGACAGTAAAAGGTGGTCACACATAGTATGCAGACAACACTACCTCCCTCCCCACCAAGATTACTCCTCCCACTACAGCGCTACTTATCACAACAATCCTGCTATTATCAGAATCCTGGTCATTTTTATCACACTCAGGGGTCTTCTGTAATACTATCATTGCTAAATAATAGCATAAATATATATAAAATAATAGCATAAATATATATAATATGGCATTTTTAGGCGATGCTGTGGTCACAAGCTGAACAGCAGTGCTGTGAGCTCATGCTGCGTGCGTCAGCCTTGGTGGCTCAATCACTACTGAGGCCTTAACACCCGGGAATGTGGCCCAAGATTTTTTTTTATAAATGGCATCTGTTTACAAGAGCCCTGATGAAGTTGTGGTAAACCCCCTATATCCGTGGGCAGTTTAAATTTTTCTTAGATTTTCTTAGATTTCCATGACGTGATGCACAATTTATTGCAAATTACTCAACCCTGCATATGACGTGTTGCGCAGTTTA